ATGTCTCAGCTCGGATGGTAAATTCCCCTAACCAAAACCGGTTAATTTACCTAAACCGGATTTATCAAATATTAACCGGATTTATCAAATATTTCAGGGGACCAGGAATTGCAGTGTTGGTTCTATCATGGGTGATAACACTATACACATTATGGCAAATGGTGGAAATGCATGAAATGGTTCCTGGAAAGCGTTTTGATCGTTACCATGAGCTTGGACAACACGCGTTTGGAGAGAAGCTCGGTCTCTATATCGTTGTGCCGCAACAATTGATCGTTGAAATCGGTGTTTGCATCGTTTATATGGTCACTGGAGGCAAATCGTTAAAGAAATTTCATGAGCTTGTTTGTGAAGATTGTAAACCAATCAAACTTACTTACTTCATCATGATCTTTGCTTCTGTTCACTTCGTCCTCTCTCATCTTCCCAATTTCAATTCCATCTCTGGCGTTTCTCTTGCTGCTGCCGTTATGTCTCTCAGGTAAATCATTCAAACTGGTTCGGTAATTTAAATTGTTGTCTTGGTTATATATGTTAGTTTGAATATCGTTAGAATTTGAGAAATTGGTTTGGTTTGGTTTTAGTCCGGTTTATTCAACAAATTGGTTTTCTCTAACTTATTATCCGGTTCTAAATCAATTTCCTTTTTGTTTCTAGCTACTCAACAATCGCATGGGCATCATCAGCAAGCAAAGGCGTTCAAGAAGACGTTCAATACGGTTACAAAGCGAAAACAACAGCCGGTACAGTTTTCAATTTCTTCAGCGGTTTAGGTGATGTAGCGTTCGCTTACGCGGGTCATAATGTGGTCCTTGAGATCCAAGCAACTATCCCTTCAACGCCTGAGAAACCCTCAAAAGGTCCCATGTGGAGAGGAGTCATCGTCGCTTACATCGTCGTCGCGCTCTGTTATTTCCCCGTGGCTCTAGTCGGATATTATATTTTCGGGAACGGAGTCGAAGATAATATTCTCATGTCACTTAAGAAACCGGCGTGGTTAATCGCTACAGCGAACATCTTCGTCGTGATCCATGTCATCGGTAGTTACCAGGTCGGTTTTTCTAAACAAGAACCTTTAAATGCTCAAAAGACAACCGTTATTAAAAAAACCAAATCTTGGTTTTGTTGCAGATATATGCAATGCCGGTATTTGATATGATGGAGACTTTATTGGTCAAGAAGCTAAATTTCAGACCAACTACAACTCTTCGGTTCTTTGTCCGTAATTTCTACGTTGGTAAGAAAATTAATTGAAATTCACGTTTATTATTCATGGAGTATTATATATTTACATTTTTAAAACTATAAAATTATGGTGTCAGTTGTTCAATAAGTCTGATTATGTGTTTTTTTTTTGTCATCTAAATTATGGTTTTGTAGCTGCAACTATGTTTGTTGGTATGACCTTTCCGTTCTTCGGAGGGCTTTTGGCGTTCTTTGGTGGATTCGCATTTGCTCCAACCACATACTTCGTAAGATTGCCATTTCTAAATGTTTTTCTACAGCTTGAATGAATTATTATTTATTAAAAAAAACAGGTGCACTTTTTCAAATTTTGATTAATAGAAATTAGACTAAATTAGTTATTTATAATGTTTTCAGCTCCCTTGCATCATTTGGTTAGCCATCTACAAACCCAAAAAATTCGGCTTGTCTTGGTGGGCCAACTGGGTAAGTAAAATTATATTAACTTTTCTAGCGTTTACGATGTCGGCGGTTGCGTTTTGTGAACTTGTTTTCTTATATAAACAATTTTTTGTTTGTTGTTTATTTCAGGTATGTATCGTGTTCGGTCTTTTCTTAATGGTTCTATCACCGATTGGAGGTCTAAGGACAATCGTTATTCAAGCAAAAGGATACAAGTTTTACTCGTAAATGCAATGTAATATCACTAATTTCGAAACATATTTCTATATTAATATATGTGTGAAGAAGTTTTTAAGAGATCAACACGAGACATAGAAGAATCAATGGTCTGGTCTGAATCTAAATGTAGCATTTAGGGTTTGTACTTTCGTGCGTTATTATATAAAACAATATATTTTGTTCTTTTCTGTTTTCAAAATGTTTGGTTTTATGAGGAGATTGATTCTTTGTGTTCTCAAGAATAATGATAGATATCTTTCTCACCACTAAGTTACAGTATAATAAGCCATAAAATCCATGGATTAGTAAACGAATTTATTAAAATTAGATAATTGAGATTTCATATCGTGCATATAACGACAAAAGTCAGAAGACTCACAACTAAATCAACGAAGAAAAATCAGTTAGATTCTTGATACATCACAAACCAAGATATATAAAGAAACATATGTATGATCTTTGCAGGGTTCAATGTTCCACTGTTTCTTATATATGCATTAAGAGCAACCACAATGGTTGAAACAAATTATTGAGTTTCTTATAAATTAAATATTAATTTTTTGATATTAAAAAAAATGAACCACTAAAAGATGGACAAATGGAAGAAGAGTTTATAAAATAACTAACAATGTACCTTAAATAAGAAACATCTCTAGTTCTCTCTCTTCTTTTTGTATTTTTTTTTAATATTATAATCTTAAGAAACCTTCTTAGGACCACCATTGTGGTTGCTCTAAGAATCTAGAATTTGATTAGTCAGATGGGGAAAACCCAATCAAAAACTTTGATTATCTTACTCGAAGATTCGATGACAGTCTTTGCCAGCCAAATTTGCACATGTCAAATATATTCTCAAGTACACTTAATTCAAAATCGTACTAATCATCGTCGTTAAATTTCATTTTCTTTGTAGTTGGATTTTTAAATTTGGATTTGTTCAAATGGACAAGAACAATATTTTTGTGTTGACAAATAAGTTTTAAATTTTTTTTGATTTCATCTTATTATATACTTTTTCTATTTTATTATATAAGATGTTTTAGGGAATTTATTTTGTTTCATATTATATGATGTTTCACAAGTTTCTATGTAAATTTAAATGCATTTGACAATTTGTGATAATTTATATTTTGCAGTCTTTTTTTATGACTGGTTAAATTTTTCTTAACTAAATATAAATAATATATTTTATAAAAAAAAATATTTAAATATATGTACATTTACCTTAAATTTTTTAATAAAATAATAAATACACTCGTGGTTCATATATATGTGCTTCAAATTCCAATTGACGTTTAAATGCATTTAGCAACTTTGTCACGTTCGCATTTATGCTTCGGCCATGTTTGTGTTCACATTTGTTTTCTTGGTTATGGATTATATATCATATTTGCTATGCTCACACACATCATGACATCAACATATATACCATACGCATATGTCTAGAACTCTCACTGAAAAATAGTATTAGGATATGTTCGTTTCATCGCTGCTGGCGGTGTCGACGGCGGCAAACACTACCTCATGTTGTTGTTTATTACGCTGCCGCTGCCGCCACTATTTAATCATTAACGCTGAATAAAAATAGCGTCCAAAATTTTTTAGCCGCAGAACGCAGCGTTTGCTGCAGCTAATTACGTCAACCAAACGAACATTAATATATGCGTCTGCCGCTGCCGCAGGTAGCTGCAACGACGAAACGAACGGGCTTTATATATATTTTTGTGAACTGAAGAAATAAATAAAACAAAGATCCTCTTAATATGGCATTGGACCTTTGCTGAGCCCATTTATAAAAGGAGAAAATGGGCTGACCGGGACGCCAATATCATTCTCATCATTAAGGCTGTCTTTTAAGCTAGCTCACTTGCAAAAATTGATGTCCACATACTCCTGAAATCATCCCATTTAGAGCTTAAAAGTTTCGTCTAAACTCTAAACTAAGAGAATATTTTACTAGAGTAATTTGCTCTCCGTTGTCTGAGGTTTTGGCAACAGACACAGACATGTGGAGTGGAAAGTGATTTTGGTTGGATTATTTTTTCGTTCCAAATTATTTATATTAGTGTGGCTATTGTTTTATTATTTGGATTTAAAATTTGATAAATAAACCAAAAAAGAATATTAATAGAATCTGTAACGATCAGCCCCGGCCCAATATATTTGGGAGCCTTAGGACAAAATTTTTTTTTTTGCCTACTATTATATATAAAGAGAAAATTTACTTAAATTTTAAAAAATTTGCCGATTTTATAGTTAAAATTGTTATTTGAAAATTTTTGGGCCTTTTAATACATTTTCATATAAAGAATTAGGTCTCTTGAAATATAATTTTCATATTAATAATATTTTTAAAAAATATTTGGGTCTTTTTTATATGTAAATTTTCTTTTAAAAAAAAGTTCCGGACCGTCGCACCTCCGCCCACCCCTCTAAGCCGGGGCTGGTAACGATGTGATGGCATTATATTTATGATGTATAATATTTATCGACTATGGAGTATACCTAGTATAGGATATTTTGATTTTGACCGTCGAGCCAATAAGAGAGTTATGATTCCACCATCGACTATACAATGTTGCATCTAATAAAAACGAAGCTACTAAAACATATATGCATAATAAATAATATAGTTATAGACTTATAGTATGACATCCAGTGATATGTATGATATATGCATGTGTGAGCTGTAAGGTTAGTCCATAAATCATGGGTTTTGTCGTTAAAAGAAGAGAAAGAAAGAACCTTATTTATAGACAAAGGACCAACCAAGACAGCCCTTTCTATGACCTCTCCTCCAACTAAAAATGCCATCTGTTCACTTATGATTTCTTAACTAGTCTCTTCTATTTGTTTTATTGTATTTATGTTGTACGTACGCATATAAACAATAAACAGGAAAGCAAATTGAAATCTGGACCTTTCACTTAGAAAATGATTCATACACGAAAATATACTACTGATTTGTTGGAGAAAATATTCATGTGTAGGTAACCAAATAAATTTGAGCTATAGTAGCGGTTTTTAATTACATAGGTGGGTCTGTATAGATTCTAGGTTAATGACCGCTTAACGTCTTCTAGCAGCTTTTGGAAACTAACTATTTATATACATTCACTTTCTCATTATCTTTCTTTTTTTTTTACATGAGATTCATATATGTAGAAAATGTATAAAAACATGAAAGGTAAATCATTTTTTCAGTTTGAACATAATTCTGCTGTATATAACTTTTACTATTTAGAACATTCTTTAATTAAGGTTTCAAACGTGATTTCATTGTATAATGTATATATACGTATTATTGTGTTAAGTTATAACTTATAACTATAAGTCTATAATATGCAAATGTCATTAATCAACTAAAACCATACTGTTATTGTACACAAGTTATGTAGTATTTCAGAATATTTCTCATAAACAAATGTAAATCACATTCACATATACTGTACACCACATTTTATTTTCTCTTACACATTCTTCTATACACTAAATTAAGTAAATATGAAATAAAATTTGCGTAAAAGTAGTACATCCTTTGTATTTGGAACAGAACATAAGAAAAACCCATGGTAATATCATATAAATCCTCATTCCAAAAGAAATATGTTCTCAGACAAAGAGTACTAAACCGGAGACGAAGAAAACTCTAATGCATATTTATCACAAGTCTAAGTTAGCTTTAACTATAGTACTCCAAACGCTTATATATGTTAATATAGATTATATATATATGATGCTTTCAAAATGTAATGTCACTTACCATCGTTAATATTATTCCCATTTCTTTTTGTCTTTCCGGTTTCAATCACATGCCAAGCCTTAGAGCTGATTCAACATCCAATCTCCAAGCAAACCCACCTGATCTAATCCTCCATACATCACACGGCACCTTCATCTTCCTCCACGTGGACGGCTCGTACCTAACCCTAACCCTGCACGTCACCGCACCGTATAACTCCACCATGCATGCTATCTCCTCCATAAGGTCCATGGCCACCACCAGCCATACCCTGATAACCTCCACGTCCGGAGCTCCCATCATCCTCCGGTACGCCCGGTTTACCCAACAGACCCGGTTTGACCCATCCGACACTAACCATGGACACGTGTCAACCTCTAACATCCTCATCACTCTCTCTTCTCCCTGATCCATACGGCCTAGCTGCTCCAGGATGTGATACCCTCCCAAGTCAGCACACGTGTCACTCACACACTCCACCGTCAACCACGACTCCACCACCGTCTGATCTAAAGATGACGATAGCCCTATGATCGAACCATACAAACTATTCTTTGGATTCATATCACTCAGATCCGAACAAAACTCACCAGCTTGGTCTCCATTGTTTCCTAGATCTCTATCCTTCTCCGGGAGCAACTCAAGCGTGACGATATCGCTTCTATCATCACCGTCTATCTCTTTATCGAGATTGGGATTCTTTAAGTTCCCTCTATCGCAACCATTCTTTTTACCGGTGATCTTATTCTTATTATTACTAACACTACTAGTTTTTTTATCCCGAACCCTAACATACTTTCGTTTCGATCTTCTGTTTCTTCCAAGGAATCTGCTACTCTTTGCATCGTCGGAAGATTCACCGACAGCTGGTTTTGGCGCGATCGGACGGAACCGTTGCATTATCTTGCTTATAACAGTCTTGTCTTGATCTGTAGCACCGTCGCAAACAGAAGCTTGCCGCTGCTTTCCGTTATCATTCATGACTTAAGTCTGCCTCGATCTCACTATCTCTCCGGCTGTGTTAAATTGTGTAGGTGTTGTACTGTTGTTATAAGAAAATGCCCAATATTGTTGAAAAGATAAGCAAAAAAAAAAAAGTTGAGAGTTGAGAGAGTATGAGAGATACCAAGAGGAAAGTTATAGTACATAAACACGTGGCTAGGGCAAGCGTTTAGCATATTAGAATAAATTATTTGATGATTGGTTCCATATTTATAGAATGGGTCCCATTTCAACATATTTATGTTGGCACAAAAATTTAATACAACCTCCGTTCTTTAATAAATGTTATTTTAAACTTTTAATTTTGTTTTTAAATAGATGATGTTTTAAATATTTAATGCAAAATTAATTATTTTTTTATTGTTTTTGACGATTTATATTCTGTAAATTATTATTTTATTAGTTAATTAGATAATAAATAATGTTTTAGTTTAGAAATAAACAAAAATTAAATGATTTCTTAATCTACGTGCATTTTCCTAAAACATCACTTATAAAAGAACGGAAGGAGTATTATTGTAGTATTTTCTAAGATTTTTTTTTAATTTTAAATAGATTAGGTATTTAAGTTTTCTATGCAATAATTATTAGTTATTATTGATGAATTGTAAATTTCAAGGAAAATAACTGAATACTATTAATTTTAGAGATATAAAATTGTAAATCGCAAAAAGTAATATATTTATAGTCAATTTTTAATATATATTTTTAATGTGTGTGAAAATCCTAGAAAATATATTAAAAAGGGATAGAGGGAGTACATGTTTTTGTCGTACTAATGTATATACGAATTGTTGAAACAAAATCTTCATAAATGTTAATGTCATATAACAAAGACATAATTAAATGAAATTAAACAGTCATATTAAATTTTGAAAGAATATGGATCGAGTACTATCATCAAAATGTTAAATTTACTTTGAGCTGATTTATTTATCATGTATATACTCTCGATATTTAAAATGCTAAGTAATCCATCTAATGTAGATTAACAGTAGTGGTTTCTATAAACCGAATTTGATATGATCATGCGTTTAAATACTTATACATGTAATCAAATATTTGTATAATTAATAGATGAGTTCAAGTTCAAAGATATATCAAGTACTTCAACGTGTGTTTCTTGTATTTTATGGGTTGGATTCTAAGAATTAAGGAGTTAATTATCGCGCTTTTTTGTCTATTAAGGTTATTCTTGTATAATGAAATGGATATAAATTTTAATTTTTATTGAGAATTATGGTTTAATCTCACTAAAAGAGAATTTTTTTCCCGATTTCTGATTGGAATTTATAAGAATAATTAAGTAAGTAGTAAGTACTTAATAGTCTGCAATTTAATCATCCTTATAAGTTGTTATTATAAATGGAAGGGTTTAGGGAACTAGCTAACCTCGAAGGTGGTTGGTATAAAGGACTCTATCTATATATACAGTTAAAAAAGGGACTATTTATTTTAGTTACATTATTTTTAGATATAATACTGGTTAAAAATCATATTACTCGTCTTTCTTCTTTCTGAAATTGCTCGTTATTACCATATCGAAGAGAAAAAGTTAGGTTTTTGACCTTAAGAGCAACATTATTGGGAGGTGTTTAGTTTTGGTTCTTAGTAATTTTTTTGGTTCTTATCCTAATTTTTGACTCTTAGCTAAGAGTCATTCTTTAGCAAAATCATCAATTTAACTTTTAATTTTAATTTATTTTGAGCTAAGAATCAAGTTAAACACCTCCCAATAAAAATGGTCTATATCTTCAAAATTTGATTAAAAGAAATATGGATTATATATAGCTAAATCGTAAAGTTATACCAAAGTACCTGAATATATGTATAAACCAAATATCTATGTATATATGAGCATCCATGATCCTCGATGTGCAATACGTATATACACACGTGTTCAAGACTATATCGAGCCAATCAAGTCATAAAAACTAATTTAGAATAAAAGAAAAGTGTGGAAGTCCCCTTGGTCCATTGGTTGATCAAGGGTTGATTAATGCTTCTACACCAAGAGGTCTGGGGTTCGAGTCCCAGATATTGCGATTTATTAACAAATTTGCAGATTAATGGAGGCAAGTGTGCAAGAGATCTCCAGCGATGTACAATTATAGCCGTTCGCCAGGATTCTACGTAGATAAGGAAGTGTCGCCAGATCGTGGATCATTGAAGGTATTCATCAAGATTACGAAGAAGGAAGTGTAGTCTGTCGTGGATCTAGTAAGGGTCGGAAGGAATTGTCAGTTGTAGAATCTTCTATGTAACAATTCTCATAATTTGTAATTAATAATAAATCTAGACGACAAAAAAAAAATAAAAAAAAAGCAACCAATAGAAATAATATTGTTGAGTTTTTTTTTTTTGAAATTCAAAAAGGCACGACAAGATATAGATATAAGCGTATCTATCGTGATGGGGGATTTTGAGATTTTTGGCCCAAATCAGAGTGCTGGACCAATCAGTCGCAACCATCTATTCCACCACTACAGAAAGTTATAATCCACGTGGACTTTCTCCTCACCAATAGCGTCACTCTTCATTTTTCATCATCACACATTGTATATCGTAAAATAAATTTTATTTTATAGGACCATTTTTTATAGGGAAAATTTCCAAAAAAAACCTCAACTATTTAATATTTCTCAAAAAAAAATTGAATTTTTTTCGTTGCAAAAAAAAACCAGACTAATTTACCGCTGACAAAACAAATATGAACTATTTTTTTTTCCAATTTCCTCTCGTTTCCGTCACGGGCGTTAACTCCGTCGTTGACGCCGTTACTATTTTTTAGAAAAGTTCTTGGAAAAAACTTAAGTTATTTAATTTTGCCAGAAAACTACCAGAATTATTTGTTCGTTGCCAGAAAAATACATAGATCAACATTTTTCTTTTCTTTTTGTCTTCCATGAATAATGTAAGGTGGTGAAAGCTAATAACTTTATGTGTTCTCTTGAACTTCATACAAGTTTTCAGTTTTCACTATTGTTTAGGACAATTAAATTTAATAACAAAAATATACAATTAGATTAGTCGATTTTCAAATTTCTCAATAAGATTTGTTTTTGGATCTATTTAGACTTTACAAATTGTGGGACATCATCAACAATGGAACTCTAAATTTCATAAGAACCCCAAAAACCTTAGTAGATCTTCAAAAATTCTCTACATAAATCGAATAAAAAAAACTCAAATCAAGCAAAATCCACCAAAATTGAAGCTAAAGCTAGCTTAATCAAACCAACTCAACGCTAAAAAAACGACTAATCTAATTGTGTTGTTTGGTTCTAGTTAGAAAATTGGGGAATCAACAAATGTAATTGTGATTTTTGTTCTAATTAGAAAATTGAAAAACCGATTAATCTAATAGTAGCAAGAACTTGTATGAGGTTGAAGAGAACACATAAAGTTATGAGTTCTAAATACCTTACATTGTTAATAAAATAAAAGAATATGAGGAAAATGTTGATATGTGTATTTTTCTAGCAACAAAAAATAATTCAGGTATTTTTTCTGACAAATATTAAATAGTTGGGGTTTTTTTTTTGGGAATTTTCCCATTTCTTATAGGTCTAGTGTGCATGTTTTAAAAATCTCCGCCTATCCCGATTACTCTCCGTTTAATCGATAGGTCCACCCTCTCCGCCTCGATTAATGACTAATCCCTTAAAAAAATTAGTCACCCGATTACTCTCCGTTTTATCCGATTAATTCCCGTCTAATCCGATTATTTTTCGCCTATTCTTACGTATCCCGATTATTTTTTTATTGCAAGTATAAAACAACTTTTTTTTTTGTTATTCAAACATTTGAATTGGAAGTTTGTGATATTTTACAATAATTTATGTTCAAATTTTAATAAAACTCATAATTTTTTAACAAAAAATATAAAAATTTGCCTCTAAATATATTTTTGTGTGTTTACTGCAATTTTGAAAATAATATTAGATTAATATATTTTTAAAATATTAAAATAATTCTACAAATAGTTTCCGATTAATCTCCGATTTTAATCCGATTTTTCGATTAATTGTTAGGTCCATACTGAACGTCCGACTAGCGCCTAGCGATTTTTTAAACAAGGTGTCTAGATAGAGATGCCATCTCGGGTTGAGAAAGAAAGAAAAAATAAGATAGAGAGATGCTATCAAATCAGAAAAGAGAAAAAGAGATAGTGAGATTATTGGTTTTAATTCTTAGATGCATACAGTTTAAATAGTTGAAAGTTTCAGATGTTGCATATTATAAGTATCCAACGACAAAAGTGGTAAAGCTCATTTTGAGGAGACTCACTACACTAGGTCAGAAGTTAAATTTCATTATAATATCATGTTTTATATATTAAGATTCAATTTATTCTTCAATGAAATATATGTAACAAAATAGTAAGATAAGTTTGGCTGATTTTTATTTTTAGTATGACAATAAATCGCCAATAAGTAGTTTATATCTGTCCTTGAAATTTTCATAATTTGGAGATTAGCATTGATCAGCAATTGTCAAACTCATATCTTAGTTTCGCCTATTTTGGAAAGCTAATGTTAAATTTTAATTTGCCTATAGCCTATAGGTTTTGTAATTTGTAGAATCTGACACTTAATTTTTTTTTTAGTATGAAAAACTGACACACACTTAATTTGTGTAGTCTCTTTATCTATATATATGAAGTAGAATATTTGATAAACTTGAGTTGCTCGTCGTCAATATGAATCCAAATTAGCTACATACGGAGAATGCAGACATGCAAGTACATCAATAGCATTAAAATATATACGAATTTCACTTATCAGGATAACTATTCGCTTTATAAAATACTTTAGGTTATTGTACGTAATTCTTTTAGGGTCAATAATTTTCTTGAAGATGTTTCGAGAAAAACATACACGTGATAGGCTCCTATTCTTTTTCTCGTCAACCCAAAATTCTATCACTGTTATAAAAATTCCACAAGCCGCATCACAAGAACGTGACTTGAACGTACGTTTAGATTCATCTCACAGTAACACATGAACGGCCACGATCGATAAAAGTGAGACCCAACAAAAAAAACTTCTCTCAGGTATGGCATGACGTCACTAATTCGACGAAACAAGACACTTAAACAGAAGGGAAAAAACAAAAAATAACTGAAAGCTGATTGGTTGATGTCTTTCTCTGTCGAGATGCCACGTGTAATATTTTTTTTCCTTATGCGTGATTGAGTGTTCCATAACCACTTTATTTATTCCCTCCCTTCGATAGATCTTTTT